TATATATATATATATATATATATGATTTAGTTGTTCTGTAAGGTGCACATTACTCATCCTTCCTCACAAAAATAATTGGAAGAAACTGGGCACATCTACATGAGATGCTAAACTGAGCAGTAGCATAGTTTACTGTGCAGTAAGTGTGTGCATCTACCTGTGTGCATGCTTACTGCACAGTAAAAACCCCTAATCGTGTAGTTACTATGCAATAATGCATGTATAGATGTAACCTGGGAGCAAATTTGCTTCCAGGTCAGCTCTGCCTTTATGGCAGCTCCTGCCTCAGGTTTTTAAAAGCCTGTGGGCATTTTGAACCCTGGGGCATACCAGCAGGCAACCTGAGGTGACTCCAGGCCCTGTGTCCACCTGGGCAAGCTGCAGGCTAGCCTTACCAGCCTGTCTGCACCATGGTGCTGCTGCCTGGCACTGCATTGCCACACACCTGCCAGGCCTGTGCTGTGCAGGCCTGCAGGCTGCTGCAGGCTCCAGCCAGGCCCAGCTGCAGGCAGCTTATGGTTGCCAGGGCCAGCTCCATCTGCCTGCACCTCACCCCCAGCACCCTGCCCTGAGCCTGCAGGTGCTGCGGGGCATTGCCTCAGCCGCATAGCTGTCAGTGCCACACCAGGCCCCTGCGCTGGGTTCTGTGGGCAGCTGCCCAGGCCTCGGAGCACAGGGACAAACACGCAGCGGCCTGGGGAGGTGGCATGGGACCCCCAATGGTGACATCCTCACTGACACCCATGCCCACGCCCATGCCTGCCACCTGGGGCCCAACTGGTTGCAGGAGGAGACTGGCGACCTCGTGGCATTGTGGGGCAAGGCGGAGGTGCAGCGCCAGATTAAGCAGGGCAGGCACTCCAACACCCATGTCTATGAGGGGCTGTCAGGCCAGATATGGGAATTTAGGCACAACATAAAGGCAGGGCCGCATAAAGGTCAAGGCCTTGTGGGCACAGTGGGTTGCCAGCACTGACCACAATCATTAGTCAGGGAGTGCTCATAAGTTCATGCCCTTTACGTGGCAGCTGACAGACATCTTCTTGCCCTGTAGACCCTGTCTACAGCAACTTCAGTGGCCTGCCTGAGCCCCCACCCTGGCCTGGCACCCATGGTGACATGTCACCTGTGGAGGGCCCTTCGGGTATCCAGCAGCCCATCCTGCTGAGCAGTCTCTACCAGCAGCTCAGGCAGCCCAGGCCAACACCTGCTATGCCACCTCTGCAGCCCCAGGCCCCACCATGAGGCACAGTCAGCCATGACACTGCTGGCTGCCAGCAGCACCAGCTCCTTCCCAGGGTGCGGGGTCCAGCCAGGCACCCACTTGCTGCACCCCGCCATCCGAGGACACCATCCAGAGCTGCATGCCATCGCCGACAGCTGTGACCACATGAAGCTGCCAGCCATGCTATCCCCAGCCACATGGTAAGGCCCACACTGAGGGGAGGGCCCCCCCCAGGCCCTGCCTC